CTTTTTTTTTTCCTCTTCCTTTCTCCTTTTTTTTTTTTTTTCCTCTTCCTTTCTCCTTTTTTTTCCTTTTCCTTTTCCTTTTTTTTTTTTTCCTCTTCCTTTCTTTTTTTTTTTTCTTCCTTTCTCCTTTTTTTTTTTCCTCTTCCTTTCTCCTTTTTTTTTTTTCTTTTTTCTCCTTTTTTTTTTTTTTCCTCTTCCTTTCTCCTTTTTTTTTTTTTCCTCTTCCTTTCTCCTTTTTTTTTTTTTCTCTTCCTTTCTCCTTTTTTTTTTTCCTCTTCCTTTCCTTTTTTTTTTTTTTTTCCTCTTTTTTTTTTTTTTCCTCTTCCTTTCTCCTTTTTTTTTTTTTTCCTTTCTCCTTTTTTTTTTTTTTTTCCTTTCCTTTCTCCTTTTTTTTTTCTCTTCCTTTCTCTTTTTTTTTTCTCTTCCTTTCTCTTTTTTTTTTCTCTTCCTTTCTCTTTTTTTTTTCTCTTCCTTTCTCTTTTTTTTTTCTCTTCCTTTCTCTTTTTTTTTTTTTTTCTCCTTTTTTTTCCTTTAATATATATATATATATATATATATATATATATATGAGGGTCTGTCTAGTAATATAAGAAAAATTAGTTTTTAAAAGGTAGCAAAAACATGACATTTGACAAACAGAAGCGTATGCTTGTTACTGGATGACCCATGTAATTATTGATCTGCTATGAAATATAAAGAATCAGAACTGCATCCAACACTTACTGTTAGCAAGATATCAAGTTTAATTTCAGCTTAACAAATTTATCACAATCTAAAAAATACTGTTTGGCAAAAAGCTAGTGTTTTGTTTTGTTTTGTTTTTTCTTCAATTTAATACAGATTTCAATATATAAAAATCTAATATTTCTTACAATGAAATTAACATTTAGATGAATATCTAATGAAAATTTCTTAGACAATATTAATTTTTCTTTTATAATCATAGTTAATATTCATGAAGTAAAACACTTTTTTCTCTTAACAAAACAGGAAATTTGCAAGAAAGAAAAATAGGTATTTGTGTTTTGCAAGAATCCTTCCCTGCTCTTCCTCCTCCACACACAACCAGACTTTACAAATCTTTGGAATTTGGCCAAAAATTCACAAGTGCAAAATGGAAAATTGTTCTCTCAGACTTAAGAATTTTGAGAATTCATCACCACCCCTCTTGAAAACTTGCAGAAACTTGCACTAACATTTCTTTATATAATGATGCATTTTTACTTCCTTTTTTTTCATTAGTTTTGTTTTATTTTTTATAAATATACAAGATTTTTTTTTAGATTTTTTTTTTATATTTCTCAACTGAACAAAGCAAATGTCATGATTAAAAACAAATTTTCTCTATTGTCTGCTCTATTGTGAAAGACTTTATCATAAAATATAAATGGCTCTCTTGCCTTATAGTCATGGAATTTTGACAGTATAATTAATTCTACAAGTTTTAGAAGCATTCTAATCTCTTTTAGTTATTAAAAAAAAAAAATGCCTATCCAGCAAAATTTATATCTACTGAGAATTCTGTATCACCAGAACAGCATCCAAAGCCTTAAATATTTTTCCAACTATATTTAAAATAACTAATGTTCAAATTCTAAGAGTTGTATAAACCTGAAAAAGCTACTGAATTCTGAATCAATGGTTTGGTAAATCAGTTAATAGAAAAAGCTGGATTGTAATCTTTTTCTTTAAATTAACTGCTTCATTCATAACAGCAGCAAAATGTGTAAAATCTTATCTTTTATGATCAGTACATTCCTCAGATTTTATCAAAAAGAAATGTATAAACACAGTTTTATGAATTGATAGAATGTCATTTCTTTTACTAATGATTTACTTAAGAACAGCTGATTTAAGTGTAAAATCAAATCCTGGAAAGACATTAGCATCATTAATTAGTTAAGTTTCAGGAGTATACTAATTAAATTTAATAACATAAATATTAAATTTAATAACATATTAAACTTATTAAATTTATTAAATTTAATAACATAAATATAAAAAGTTTATATAAAAAAAGGAAAATGTTTTTCAACTGAGTATTTTGTTTTTTGTCTTAAAAAAAAAAATGGTAGTAATTTTTGCAGAAACTTAATATAACAGTTTGAGATTTTACACACACACACATGTATGCACACACTCTGCAAAAAATGCAATTGTTACATAGATCCTTTCAGAAAACATTCAATTGTTTTTGATCAATGAAAAATAAGAGATCTTGCTTAAGGTATCTATATGGCAGTGCCAGGGCCATGTATGGTTTTGAATTCAGAGTTGTCCTTCACCTAGACTGATTGCCAACCACATCTAGAGAGCTCAGTCTGCCCTGTTATTTAACCTATAGCTGCGGGAGAGGTGGCTTCTTAAAGGTATTTGCATATCACCATCTGCACATATATGGGAGAATATGAAATATAAACTTGTTTTTATGTTTGTGTGAACCTTCAATTTTAACAAAACGCCTGTTGCAAATTTGGAATACTAACTTTGAACAATAATGCAAATTATACTGTGAGCAAGCTTGCCACTTGAAGACTAAGCTGTGAAACTGTATTGTACCTGGCTTAATTTCATGGGCAGCAGAGGGTTATCACACCAAATACTTGTGGGCTACTTCCACTGCTTGCTAATCATTGCATTTTTTTTTTTTTTTTTTTTTTTTTTTATAAAGCTCTATATATCAGATGAATGGTAAATAATTGAATAACAAAATGAAACCAAAATCTTCAAAAGGACTTCAGGTTAATGTCTTTGATAATGGAATTATATAGGAGAGTTGACTATAACAAATGTTAGTTATAGATATATACATTGAGAAAAACACTAAAGATTCAAGGACAGTTAACTTTAAATTTCTAGTGTTTGATTTCCAGAACACATTGCTAAACATATTACTAAACAAATTGAGCCATTTACTGCCTTAGTTTCAGTTTTTATTACCATTATATAATTTCTTATTTCTATGTTTAGGGGATACATGCATTTGATTAGATATCCCACTTTATTTACAGACTATATCTCAACTTAGATCATCAAATCTCAGCAACATCCTAAAGAATCATGCTAATTTTTGACCTGAGTACAATAAGCTAAGAGATATAAATTTTTCAGTCTTCAGCCATTTTGTGATCTAGTAATAATGAAAATCATACATAATCTATTTTTTCTCTATGGTCCCAGCCACTTGAACCCATATACTCTTTCTTTTTGGCAGTTTAAACTGATTTCTAATTTCAGTATATTGTGACCATTTTGCTTGAAGTTAATATTATCTTGATTTAATGAAAAATTTTAAAACATACCTGACTAAAAGTTTCACTTTCCAAAATTATAGTTTATAATTTTAGATTTATTGAAAAAAAAAAAAGTTATGCATGAGAACTCATTTATTTAGGTTTGGTCTATATGCAACTATAGAAAATCTCAAGGTTTTTACCTCTGGCATTTTAATCTACTGTAATAAGCTTTTCAGTTAGCCACAGATGTAATTATCGGATTAGAATTATTTTAATTTTTAAATGCAATACAAAATAATTAGTTTAACCGTTTCAAAATATAGGAGAATTTAATTCCACTTTTGTGTTACTAGCTCTTCATTTTATTCTTTGGATGATGTCGGATTATTTATTCATTATGTCACTGACATGCATACAATTTTACACTTTGTTACTCATCTAGCCTAAGGCTTAAAGTTTGATATGAGGTAAAAGGGACAGATCATGGGACTTTAGTCTGGTACTTTTTTTTTTTTAAATACCATATCTCTTTAGAACTGGTTTCTAAATGGTGTGGCAGAAGAGGATAGCTGGTGAGATGGAATGATTAAAAGACAAAGATTTAGAGACAGTTTCAAGAAATTCATATGCCAAAAATAAATATGATTTTAAAATATTATTATAGATTACTTGTAATTGCATGCATGAATCTCAGTATAAATAATTGATTGATTTTATCATTGTAATATTTTTACATTGTATTAAGAATATTGTAACTAGGGTCTGAAAATTGGAGGAGAAAGTTATCAATGATAATGTTCTGACTTCAAATCTGCAGTTATCTTTCTTTAGCCCTCTCTCTGGACCTTCTTTGCCATAGAGTTGCTTGCACCTTTTCACTAGGATTTCCCTTTGGTGAGGCATGAGCAAATTTTCATTCCAAAAATATGTTCCAGATGAGAAAAAAAAAGTTTGGGAATCACTGCTTTAGGATGTATACAATCATAAGTCTTCAGATTCCATTTCATTATCTTACTTGCCATGCAATCTTGGATAGATAGAAAAGTCATTTCCTGTTACCTTCTCCACAGTTTGGAATTAAGGTTTCCTTCTCTCAAACTGGTTGCCACTCAATGCTAGAGATCCCAGGCTACAATGCTATTTAATCTCTAGAGATGAATTCATGTCTTTTTCGAGAGCACTAGTATAAAAGTGAACTCACTAGACTAGCCTGGAATCTGAACTCTGCCTACTGTTTCTACTTGCTACACCAATATCTGTTGCACTACCTACATATCCTTGTTACATGTTATTGATATGAGATTTTATGACTTTGCTTTGCAATTTATAGGGATAATTGTTACTTACTAAGCTTTGTTTTTGCACAACTAAGGCAGTCCCAAATTTAATACTCTGTATTATTTGGGATCTTGTTGGTACAGGCATGTTGTCTAGGCAGTGCACAGCTTCCATATACCACTGTCCAGGGTATTACCTTTTTATCTTGAGATAAATGGATGCCAACATTTTTTTTTTTTTTTTTTTTTTTTTTTTTTCTGTAATGACCAAAGCCATGGAAACACAAAGTGAAGACCAAATTTCTTACTCAGAAGTATAGATTGTTAATCAGTACATGATGAGTTAAAAAAAAAAGAACATGATATGAAAATGAAATACAAGTTTCTTAAATTAATTTGAGGACTTAAAATTTTCTTTGAGATAATATGTTGAATTGGTGACTTTTTTTTTTTTTTTTTTTTTTTTTTTTTAAAATCATTGTACAGAATGGATGGTATTCCATAGATAGTCTGGTCCATGTGATTAGTTTAAGTTGAGCTGATACTTGACTTCAACTAGTGAAAGCAGTTTGTTTTTTTGTTTATTATTTTATTTGTTTATTATTTTTTTTTTTTTTTTTTTTTATTTCAACCCAAGCCAGGTGGGAATGATATGGAGGGGATTACAGAGAGTGAATTTAAAAGAAAAGACTGGATATTGGAGACAAGCTGAACAGGCTTTAAGATAGAAGATGGTGATTGACATTGCATTTAAATTTTTGAAGATTGTATTTATCAGGCAAGCAAGGAAAGGGAGGGGAGTTCCATGGTCAGGAAATGCAAGAAAAACTGTTGGAGTAGAAGGGGCAGTTAACTAATTCAACAGTAAAAGGGTGGGACATAGATGCCAATCTAGTAGCACACTTAAACTCACGTAGTCTGCAAAGGAAAAAAAAAAAACTTTTCAGAGCAGTAGCCCTGAAAATATTTGTAGAAAAGACAGAGGCAAGTCATGTCACACCTGTGAGAGAAAAGTTGAGATGCCAAGTCAGGATCAATTACATTGCAGATCCTTCTTTGGATTTTGTCAAACTCAAGAGGAGTAACAGGAGCTATGGTAACAGTGTTCAATGCATGGATGAATGGTAGATTTGTAAATGTGCAAGATAGACACTGAGGAGAAAAACCTTCTCACACGACACAGTGACCCAAATTTTCTTGCAGTAGATGCACCTATTAATTTGATGTAGTCATTCCACTTCAAGTCAGTTGAAAACATAAGGCCAGTAAAGGTGCAGTGTGTTGCTCTCCATGAATCTACCATCAGCCATGCTAATAGTGGACAGGAAAGATTCTCTATGGTGGTTAAATGAGAAAAATTTTGTCTTGGAGGCATTAAAATTTACGAGTCATTTCCTGCTCCAGTTAACCACAGATTGGAGTTCCTTTTCAAGAGCAGCAGCCAGGTTAACTTGTAGCTGTGATGTATTTGCTATTGGGACTGGAGTAAAGGGTAGTATCAGCAGCATAAATACCTACTTGGGAATTGATGACATCAGGAAGATCATTGAAGATCAGAAACAGGACCCAGGATAGAATCTTGGGGGACATTTCATGTAAAAGGGTCTGGAAATGAGCTCATTCAAAATTACCTTCATTTCATGATTTGATAGGAGCAATTGAATTAAAACAAACAATCGTCCTGTAATACCTTAGCCTTGAAGCTTATGTAGAAGACCAGTGTGCCAAACCCCGTTGAATGCCTTCAAGATATCTAGAGCCACAGCTCAAGCTTTGCTATTATTATCAAGAGCTTGACATACATATTTAGCACTTCAGCAGAAAAGCTATATTGTTTGTCAGAGAGTTGTGAAAGATAAGATGCTTAACCACTTCAGCATTGATTAAAGACTTGAATACTTTGCCGAAAAGTGTTAGGAAACTAAGAGGGGTCAGAATGTTTTCCAGAGTTCTTAAAAATGGGAACTACAGATGGCTTTCAACAAGCTAGGAAGCAGCAAGGTAATAGTTGTAGAGTTGGAGAGAACTGAAGCCATCTCAGGAGCACATTTCTTTAGGACTGTGGCTGGGATTGTATCACCTCTACTTGCCTTATAGGAGTCTAATTTAGAAATGATGTCGGAGACTAGTGATTGGGTTATGCACATATCACTTAGTAGAACCTCTATCTTATTGGGGAAATTAGCTGTGGTTATTCCAAATGATTTGAGTGTTTAGTCAGAAAAGAATTTCTGAGCAAGGCATTCAACCTTATCCACTGTAGATGTCAAAACTTCAAATTGATTAAATAGAGGAGTGATTGAGGATTTCCTGTTGTTCAGCACACTCTTGCAGAGATGCCAATAATCTCTAGAACCAAACTTGCGAGATGCTTTATGTTGGTTCTGGCTTTAAACTCTAAAATTAATGCATTCCCAATTGAATTATATTACAAGATAAATTAACTTTTTGTCTCTATCATGAGTTCACCTGGATTGACACAAAACAAACTTTAATCAATAAAGGTGTAGTCTGTGTAAGTATTAGATCGACTGGGATTCAAAATTAGACACGCATGAAATTTTAATACACATAAGATTAACATATTTTAAAAACTGTATTAATCAATTTCTGTAGTTTCTAAGGATTTATACATAAACTGATAGAATTTTTCTTTTTCTCTTTTTCTCCCTTTTTCTCTCCTTCCCCTTTCTTTATTCTCTCCTTCCCCTTTCTTTATTCTCTCCTTCCCTTTCTTTATTCTTTCCCTTTCTTTATTCTCTCCTTCCCCTTTCTTTATTCTCTCCTTCCCCTTTCTTTATTCTCTCCTTCCCCTTTCTTTATTCTCTCCTTCCCCTTTCTTTATTCTCTCCTTCCCCCCTTTTTATTCTCTCCTTCCCCTTTCTTTATTCTCTCCTTCCCCTTTTTATTCTCTCCTTCCCCTTTCTTTATTCTCTCCTTCCCCTTTCTTTATTCTTTTCCCCTTTTTTTATTCTTTTCCCTTTCTTTATTCCTCCTTCCCCTTTCTTTATTCTCTCTTCCCCCTTTCCTCTCCTTCCCTTTTTCTCCTTCCCTTTCTTTATTCTTTCCCCTTTCTTTATTCTCTCCTTCCCCTTTCTTTCTTCTCTCCTTCCCCTTTCTTTATTCTCTCCTTCCCCTTTCTTTATTCTCTTTCCCCTTTCTTTATTCTCTCCTTCCCTTTCTTTATTCTCTCCTTCCCCTTTCTTTATTCTCTCCTTCCCCTTTCTTTATTCTCTCCTTCCCCTTTCTTTATTCTCTCCTTCCCCTTTCTTTATTCTCTCCTTCCCCTTTCTTTATTCTCTCCTTCCCCTTTCTTTATTCTCTCCTTCCCCTTTCTTTATTCTCTCCTTCCCTTTTTTATTCCTTCCCCTTTCTTTATTCTCTCCTTCCCCTTTCTTTATTCTCTCCTTCCCTTTTTTTTATTCTCTCCTTCCCCTTTCTTTATTCTCCCTCCCCTTTCTTTATTCTCTCCTTCCCCTTTCTTTATTCTCTCCTTCCCCTTTTTTTTTCTTCTTCCCCTTTCCTCTCCCCCCTTTCTTTTATTCTCTCCTTCCCCTTTCTTTTCTCCTTCCCCTTTCTTTATTCTCTCCTTCCCTTTCTTTATTCTCTCCTTCCCCTTTCTTTATTCTCTCCTTCCCCTTTCTTTATTCTTCCCCTTCCCCCTTTCTTTATTCTCTCCTTCCCCTTTCTTTATTCTCTCCTTCCCCTTTCTTTATTCTCTCCTTCCCCTTTCTTTATTCTCTCCTTCCCCTTTCTTTATTCTCATTCTCAAGCCAAACAATGTTACAAGAAATGAAAGAATAAGAACACTTCAGTGGCAAGGACAATACAGGAACTGCATTAAAGAAGACAGAAGATGGTGATTGACATTGCATTTAAAGTTTTGAAGATTGTAGGTGGAAAGGAAAAAAAAATTGAAGTGATTTCAACAGGTGAAAAGTGCAAGAAAAGAAATTATTAGAATAGAAATGACTGTTGCATCTAGCTAGTTCAAAAGTAAAATGAGGTCTAGCATGCTTAAATTCACACATTTGAGATACTAAGAAAAGCTCATCAGAAAAATTACCATGAAAATATTTGTAGAAAAGACAGAACACATCAGGTTGGTGAGAAAGTGACTGAAGTTGAAATATCAGGTCAGAATTATATTACAGACCATTCTTTGAATTTTGTCAAGAATCTCAAGATATATGGTAGGAGCACTTGACTAGACTGTTGAAATAGTTACTGATACCTAAGGTTAGTGTTCAAGTCAAGGTAGAAATTCAATTGATGATTATATATATATATATATATATATATATATATATATATATATATATATATGAATTAAATATAGATACAAGCAACAATACATTCATTCAATGATGCTAAACATGAAACTGAGTCATACTTTTGACATAAGGTTATATGTATGTGTGTGTGTATATATATATATATATATATATATATATATATATAATCAAAATAAACTGACCCCAACTGGTAGTTTCTTGCATACTATGCATAGTCTTCAGGTGGTTCGCATTGTTTTAATGGGCATACCTGGTGAATACATATGTACTTACCAACTAAATAACTGGGGGACAAATGGCAAAGAATCACTGTTATTGAAGGTTGGGAAGTGGGGTCACAAAACACCAGAATATATTTACAAGTGAGCTGAGATAGTGCTCAATGACACAAGAATAATTGGACTCTGACAAAGGAGTATAGCACAAAACGTGCTCAACAATACAATTGTCCCAACAATCTCCGTGTGTGTGTGTGTATGTATGTATATATATATATATATATATATATAAAGAGGATTTTTAGGGACAAAAAGTTCTCAATAACCCACTTTCCAAATGCCTGCTTCAATAGACAAACATACTTATTTTAGAAATGTTATCACAATCTACCCTTGTGGAGAGGTAGGTAAATATAGAATGACAGCTAAATAAATATTAGACATTTCTTTCTACTCACAAGCATGCACACACGCACCATCCATCCTGAACTTGTATTATAAGTATCCTGGAGCATTAGTGGCCACAAAAATGCTTCCAAATGTTTACTATTTGGAAATTTATTTTTCTGATGGTGAAATAATAAAAATAAAAGGCTCTTCTGTTGATGTCATTCTTGTTTTTCTCTTAATTAGGAAGTGAACACTTTTCCTTACCTACTTGTATAATTTGCTTATGAAGTATTTTGTGTTCTTTTGTGCCAGTCACCCATACCTGCATTTTAAAACCAGGATATGCCTTGCAACCATTACTATAGAGAGAGATAGAAAGCAATTAAAAATAAATAAACAAATGTAAGAAGAGTGGTTAGGACCAGGGCAGGCAGTTACTGAAGTACTTCAAGGCTGACATTATCCAATAGTGACCTAGTAACCTCTGTCAACAGGAAACAGCCTTTTCTTTTGAATATGGTGGGGGGGATAATTACCTTTCTCTTCCAATTCTCTTGACATTGCCCTAACCATTTCTTAACAATTGCTGCAGTTGCCTGCTTGGTGATAAAACCCCCTTCACTTGATGTGTTTTGTCGTAAGGTATAAATTTACATGTTTTAGATTTTCCAATATTGATTGGGAACCCTTTCAATTGGAACAAAACAGATGGTATGTGTCATGTTTGCTGCTCTGGGTATCTTTGAAAAGGCATTTTCTTATATTAGCAGAAAAGTCAATAGAAAATCTTGTTATAGAACTGCTGCTAATGTATGTTCTGTTCAGCAACATTCCCTAAATACTTTCAAACTTTCAGGTATAAATTTCCACTGTTACCAACTGGCAAAAACTCTTCTCAGTTATGTAAAGATGGGACAACTGTTGTTCAGTATAACCGTATGGCATCAAAAGTAAGATGTATAATACTTATATATTGCCTGTTGCTCTTTATAGAATAGTATGTGAAAATTAAATACAGCCACTTGGAACCAAATGCTTTGGAGAGTTTCTCATGTTAGTGCACAATTTGCTGTAGGTAAAAGTAGCAGATCAAGTATATGGGTGGTTGGAGCAAGTGTGAATGTTAATAGGTTAGGTTTATGGCCACTAAATTGCTTATATATATATATATATATATATATATATATATAGGTTCCCAGTGAAGTGATCTCTGTAAGTGTATCAGTACTTCCTTTTATTAAACAATATCTGCAAAACTTCCAACTAATTTTCAGGATAGCTACCAACACAAGATGATCTCCTGTAGAAGCAATGCTTGTACATAATTCTTTATTTTTAGTCATTATATTTCTCATTTAATATTTCACACCTACAAAATTAATTTCTAAGAGGCAATCAACAAAATAAACTAAAAGCATTTGAACTTCCGAAATTGAACATTATCCCAAAGAGAAAATACCCACAATTTAAAAAGGTAAACAAAAATTCTTAATTTAATTTTTATGCCTTCTGTACTACCATTTACAAAGCAACCTAACTTCAAGAGATTGAAGTGTCAGTTTACCTAAAGAACTTAAAGATATGAACAGTTCCAAAGCGTGATATTTTCAAGTTCTTTTATTTGTAGTTTGCTATCAAAGATGGTTAATGTTTACAAACTGACTATTTTGTGGTGTTGCCTCAACTACTTAAATGCCTTCAATTCACAATGCACTTGTAAAACACTAATCTACAAATGATACAATGAGGGTGGGAGAGTACCAGGATGCTCATTAGTGTTGTTCTTTATAGTTTAATTTTATTTACCAAAATAAAGTATAAGTAATCTTATATAATTTACATCATTTGACTGTAGTCAGAATCATTGAGCCGGTTGAAACAATCCTTTCTTTAGCAGTAGAGTATGTGCTACATACAGTTTTGAATTCAAAGTTTCTTTCTCAGAGACCAGTTGCCACCCAAGGCTATAGGACCCAGTCTGTCCTGCTATCTACTCATAGCTGGGTGGAGAAGGGGATTCAGATCTTTTCCAAAGGTATTATGTATTGGAATCAACTAGAATTCAAATGTGGCTCTCCAATTCCTCAATCCAAGCTGCTATCCAATTCTCCACCTATGACTAATAAAACTTAGATTGCATTACCTAAGTTTTCATATATCCTATGTTTTAATTTTATTTTTTGGTCCTTTCTGTAATTTACCTTTTGTTTTTCCTTGGTTCTTTATTTATATCATTTACTCTTTTGTACTTGTTATTTACTTAATTTGGAGTTGTCCATTTGTGTACAAAATGAAAGGGAAACCAATATCATATGTTGCCAGCAAAATTGGATATTAACATTTCTGAAAGTTATCAAGTTCAAATTAGAACATACACTTCTAAACTATTCAAATACAGATTCAATCCTAACATGTTTTAAACAATTAAAAGGCTTGTTCTTCTGAAAGACAAGATGTTACAAATGAACATGACTCAAGTCTTCTAGAGAAAACAGTTCTCGGGTAAAAAAGAAAAACAAAATGAAATTGTCTCCTTGAAATATAAGAAACTAGCAGTAGAGCCCGGCGTTGCCCGGGGATATAACAGTAAGAGATAGATCAAGTATCCACCATCATAAAGACTGAAAAATAAAATTGACAAAGATTATTGTTTAAGGTTGACGGACACACATGTCTTAATTAGTTTTTTTTTTGTTTTGTTTTTTTTTTTGTTTTTACGAATTGGTCAAACCTCAAACAAAAACATTGTTTTTAATCGTTATGAGTCTACTGATTGAATAGAATTTTATTATAAATAATTGTCTTGTAAATGGAATTTTTAAAGCATTCTGAATGTAAAAATAAAGAAAAGTGTGCAAGACAATAAACACTACATGCCAAAAAAAAAGTGAAGTTTTGTTGAAATTGGTTGAAAAATGTAGGTAGCCTTTCTGTAATCTTTTAGTTTTACAATTTATGATTTTTACTTATTGAATACAGTAAAAAAAAAAATTGCATATTTTGCTTGTGGTGATTCATAATTAGAATTCTGATTTGAATATATTTTCCACTCGTTGTTTCTAATACAAAAAATATTAACTTTATTTGGGTTTATTAATTATGATCTAACAAATCTTATTCATTTAGTAGCCTTTCTGTAATAATAATCTTTTACAATTTATGATTTTTACTTATTGGATACAGTAAAAAAAAATTGGGCACCATGTGTATTTAAAGTAGTTTCCCGTTCCGGTTATTATTTTTAGTTAGGACTTGTGTATGTTTAGATTTCATTATCTTTCCCTAAAGATAAAGAATTTATCTGATGTTTGTATTCGTACAATCAGTAGAGATCGTTAGATTATTGTTTAATGTTGATGGACACGCATGTCTTAATTATTTTTTTTTTTTTTAGTTTTTTTTTTATTTTTCACGAATTGGTCAAACTCAAACAAAAACATTGTTTTCAATCGTTATGAGTCTACTGATTGAATAGAATTTTATTATAAACAATTGTCTTGTAAATGGAATTTTTAAAGCATTCTGAATGTTAAAAATAAAGAAAAAAGTGTGCAAGACAATAAGAAACACTACCTGCCAAAAAAAAAAAAAGTGAAGTTTTGTTTTATCGGCTGAAAAATATAGGAAATCCGCTCCCATATTTAAAGGAACCCACACACACAAACAAACCGATGTGAGTTGTCCCCCTTCCATTTTCACGATGTCTCTTAATCGTGTTTTCAAATTGATTTGTGCAAAAACAATTATATTTTTTCAATTTTTGGCACTGTTAGAACCACCACAAGGTAATTTTATGTAGTCCTGTGAAGTTTTGTTGAAACCGGTTGAAAAATGTAGGAAATCTGATCCAATATATAAACGTTACAAACACACACACACACACAATCTGCATT